GACGTCCGAGCGATGGCCAGCTACTCGCACTGCCCGCCGAGTCGCCTCGTGACTTCGGGAGCCAGCCCGCCTGGCCTCCGCCCGGGGGCGGTCGGGCCCAGCTGCCTTCCGCCCGCCTGCTCTGTCGCCGCGTGCCGCCCTGGCGCGTTCGCTCCGTGCAGCTGCACCGTCCGGCCTGGCGCTAGAATCGCCTCCCCAGATATGATGGCGTCATAAAAAAATCAGGACGGGAGGTTTTTCGCTATTTTCGGCCCCTGGGGGCCCTCGCCGGGCCTCGGGACCGTCAGAAAACGAGTCAGGACGAAAAACCGGCCCCGGGTAAAGGGTCTGGACCTCCAGGGACGCCGTCCTGAAAAAATCAGGACGTCGCATGTCTGGGTCCGTGCAGCTGCACCGTCCGGCCTGGCGCTGGAGTCGCCTCACCTCCGCTCACCTTCCTCACAGCCTCACTGCGAGGGTCTCGGGCCCACCCTGCGAGTCTCGAGGCTTGTACCTCACCGCCGCTGTTTCACGCGGCCACCGGATCGATAGCGACGGCCTCGCCGTGAGGATCGATGGCCCGCCCTGCTCTGCAGCGCTCCCGGCGCTTGGGCACCTCCGACCCGCCCCCGCGCCTGGTGCGCCTGTGCCACTGGGGCGCTCGGTGCTCGGGCACAGCCTCCTTTTGCCCCTTTGGTCCAGATCGGCGGCCACTTTTGCTGTGAGGCCTGCCTGTTTCCGCTCGCAGTCGCCCGTGCTTCACGCCGCCATCGGCTCAACAGCGACGGCCTCGCCCGGAGGCTCGACGGCGTGCTCTTGGGCTCCCGGAGCCCCCGAAGCTCTGGGCCCTCCCCCAGTTCGCCCTGGCAGCACCGCCGGTGTGCCCTCCCCCAGTTCGCTCTGGCAGCACCGCCGGCTCCGTCGACGCAGCCTGCCCCGTGCAGCTCCTCCCTGTATCTAGATCGACGGCCAGCGTCGCCGCGGCAGATTCTGCCTCCTCCTCCTCCTCCTCCTCCTCCTCCTCCTCCTCCTCCTCCTCCTCCTCCTCCTCCCTCCTCCTCCTCCTCCTCCTTCCTCCTCCTCCTCCTCCTCCTCCTCCTCCTCCTCCTCCTCCTCCTCCTCCTCCTCCTCCTCCTCCTCCTCCTCCTCCTCCTCCTGCCCCCCCCTCCTCCTCCTCATGCTCCTGGTCCATGGCTTTCCGCGGCGCACTTCCGTCTCACGCCGCCGGCGGAGCGGCGGAGCAGCCGCGGCGGCCTCGCCCGTGGGGCGCGTGGGCGCGCTCCCGGCGCCCCCCGGCGCGCTCCCTGCGCTGGGGCCCGCCTCTGCTGCTCCATCGGAACACCAGCGACGCCTTTCCCTCTGTCACCGAGCGCGTGCCACTACTCGCAGGGTGCCTACTCGCAGACGCCCGAACAACGCATGCCTGCTTCGATCTACAGCTTATCGTAGCTCCCCTGCGGCGGATCCAGGCCATTTGCGAGTAGCGACTTTGCGATTAGTGGAACGCGCTCGTCTACTCTGCCTGCACCTTCCGCACCTTCCGCGCGGCAGGTGCTACCGTCGAGGCCGCTGGTCGCTGTAGAAGAGGTACAGTGCTGTGAGGTTGAGGTCGCACTTTGCTGTGTGCTGCCTGATGCGGAATGTGGAAGAACATCTTCGATGCTTTAGCTCTCGTTAGGTCTCTGCTTTTGGATTGGCCGAGCTGCTTGTGCCCCGCCTGCGTGCGCCCAGTGTGTGTGTGTGTGTGTGTGTGTGTGTCTGTGTGTGAGTGTGTGTGTGGGGGGGATAAAGGAGAGGAAGGAGGAGAGGCAGGAGGAGAACGAGGAAGCAAGGGACGGACATTGAGGCAGATGCCCAGGCTCACCGACCCAGACGAGGTGGCCGCGCGCGCCTTGTGCGTCCTGCTGTTCGTTTTCGGCACGGTGGGCGGCATCAGCGCCACGTTCGCGTGACCCCCCCGAGCAGGTGCGCGGCGACGTGCGGCCGAAGGCCGCGCGAGGGGGGAGAGGAGCGCCACTGCCGGTCGCGGTCCGGTCCTCTGGGGGCTCGGCGGCTGACGATGGGCCTGGTTGGCAGCAGAAAGAGGAGGACGAGGACGAGGATGAGGATGGAGGTAAATATGGAGGACGAGGACGAGGACGAGGGCTGAGGACTGAGGAGGAGGAGGAGGAGGAAGAGGAGGAGGAGGAGGAGGAGGAGGGAGGAAGAGGATGGAGGGGGAGGAGGAGGCGGAGGAGGGAAGTGGAGGAGGAGGAACAGGAAGGAGGAGGAGGAAGGAGGAGGAGGAGAGGAGGAGGGGAGGAGGAGGAGGAGGAAGAGGAGGAGGAGGAGGAGGGAGGCGGCGAGGAGGAGGAGGAGGAGGGGGAGGAGGAGGAGAGGAGGGGGAGGAGGAGGAGGAGGAGGAGGAGGAGGAGGAGGAAGGAGGATAGGAGGAGGGAGAGGAGGAGGAGAGGAGGAGGAGGAGAGAGGAGAGGAGAGTGAGGAGGCGGCAGGATGAGGAGGGGATGAGGAGGAGGAGGTAGGAGGAGGAGAGATAGAGGAGGAGGAGGAGGAGGAGGAGGAGGAGGAGGAGGAGGGAGTAGGAGGACGAGGAGGAGGAGGAGGAGGAGGAGGAGGAGGACGAGGAGGAGGAGGAGGAGAGTGAGGAGGACGGAGGATGGAGGGCTTGCGCTGCCGCCGTGCTGTTAGGGCGTGGTGAATTTGCGGCAGGTCCTGGCGTGCGGGCGCTCGTCAGACCGCGCCCCACCACTCAAGGAGGAGGAGGATGAGGAGGACGAGGAGGAGGAGGAAAGGGAGGAGGAGGAGGAGGAGGAGGAGGAGGAGGAGGAGGAGGAGGAGGAAGGCCAGGGTAAACTTAGCGATACCAGTGATTCTGCACTGCACCTCGGCCAGGACCCGCTGGAAACGTGAAGGTCCGAGTCGCCTGCGTGGTGAGAGCCCGACTGCGCATCAGCGATCGCATCAAGAGCCTAGTAGACATTTGACATGTGCGCGGCGCCGGAGCGAGAGCGCAGCTTTGAAACACGAGCTACCCTCTATCCGTGAAGCTGGCAGATGTGTCAAGCTGCAGCATGTTATACTATCATATGGGAACAGCATGCGAGAACTCGATGCCGAAAAAGGGGCGGTCTCTTTTGTTTCTTGTTTTTTTTCTCTCTCTCTCTCTCTCTCTCTCTCGCTCTCATGCAGCTGCCAAACACCTCAAGTCCTATGCACGTCACACGTATGATATTAGAGTCATAAGCATGGGCCGCCCTCAAGATGCGCAAACGTTTGGATGCCCTTGCTTTGTGATTACCTAGCGGTTCGAACATCCAGCCAGTGATATGATCGTGTTCTGCGTACCTCCTGGGCGAGAGCCGCATTCTGAAACGGGTCCGCCCTCCGTCCGTGTAGCTGGGCGGAGGAGGAGGAGGAGGAGGAGGAG